ATGCTCACTCTTCCTAAAGGGCGGATAATAACTTATGCAGATGATACCGTCCTCCTATTTAACGCAGGTTCATGGCAAGATGTCTATACGTACGCCCAGCTGGGCTACAACACAGTCTCTAACTGGCTCCGAAGTAATGTGCTGACACTCAACATAGATAAAACATGTTATGTTGCATTTAGATTAAAAAATAACACATTAACAACATTATCACCACCATACTCTATCGTAAGTCACTCATGTTCCAACTCACTTAATAACGCGGATACCTGCATCAAACTATGTCAAGCTGAAAAAGTAAAATATCTAGGAGTAATAATTGATAGCACTATACGTTTTCATGAACACATTAATACCCTTAATAGCAGGTTGCGTAAACTTATATATGTTTTTAAAACTCTGAGAGATGTGGCTGACGAGAAACTAAAGAAATCCGTCTACTTCGCCTTGGCCCAATCTCTGTTAACATATGGTATTACCTCCTGGGGCGGTGCTCCAAAAACTAAAATGCTTCAATTGGAGAGAACGCAGAGAGCCATCTTAAAGGTCTCTTTTTCACTGCCGTATCGCTATCCTACAGAGCTCCTATATAAAGAGTTGAAAATTTTAACTGTGCGGCAACTGTTTATACAAAGTACCTTACTAAAACAACATGCTTTATTAAAATACAACCCCTCACTCTCCCGAGATAAAAGGCGTTTTAACCCCGTGGACCGCTATCATATAACTCTATCCACCAAATTATCTAAACGTTTCTTTTGTCACCTTGGAGGTTTCTTATACAATAAAATCAATAAAATTATCCCTATATTTAACCTTAACAAAACTATATGCAAAAAGAAAATAACTATCTGGCTCCAAGAACTAAATTATTATGACACTGAACAACTACTTACTAATTCTATCTAATTACTAATCTAATAAAAGTTAATTACTAACCCAGTCACAAACTAACAAACAAAAGCATGCACACACACACACACACACACACACGCACACACACACACACACACGCACACACACACACACACACACACACACACACACACACACACACACACACACACACACACACACACACACACACCCACACACACACACACACACTAATACTAGTTAATATATGTAGAATCCTAAGTAAATGAAAGGAGATATTATGTAAATTATAAATATGGTACATGTACGAGTGCATAATAAAAGTATTGTAATTAGAACCATAGGGCGGAGACCTGGCGTCCTGAAATACATGCGTAAAGCCTAGCTTAGGCACCAGTCTCCCACAGTATATTATTGAGGCTATACTATAATATTATGTACAATAATTCTGTATTGTGGTGAGAAAATAAAAAAAAAATTAAAAATTAAAAAAAAAAATATGGTCATATGACGATATCATTATCGTTTTTCACCGCTAGCGGCGCTGATAGCTTATTTTTAACAGAAACAGAACTTTTAAGAGAATTGACCTCACTTTATCCCTTATTGATATAATAAATAAATGTTCGTTTCTATTACTGATATTACTAGATGGTATAGTTTTGGCTTTCATTATTTCATGTAATATTAGCGCCACCTACTTACTTCTAAATAAATTGAAATGGTAAGACATTGATAAAATGAAATAATACAATGCTACTGAATATACGATGTAAATAATTGAATCATTTACATTACGTTCATCCCGCGTTGGAATCAGTGCAGCGAACTCTTTTTTGGCCAAAAACTCTACAGCCTGTGCCCAGTAGTAGCATGTATGTAAGCTGCTTTTTTACTTTTCATGGGGCAATATATGCAGTTTTTATTTCATTCGTGTTTTCGGGTATGATAATTTATGTTTTCACCCTACCGTAAATATTAAGGCTTGCAAAGATGAGTACGAGTAGAACTCATTATCGTCAGCCTATCAAAAGTCCACTGAAATGAACCTAGGCCTCCCCCATAAATTGTCAAGTAGCTGGATATTTGCTATAGTGGCGGGTTGGCAACCGCAGCTATTATTATTTTGATCTGTTGTCAAGAAGATGATGCAGATCATACCATCTACTATTTTTTTCCTATGTCGCCTCTTACGACGGGACGATATGATGTGTTGGATTTTCTTTCACCACCACAACAGTGCGAACATTTTTCTACTCCCGATCTTAAGTGTAGTGTTCCTCACGTTCACTGTGTATAAAATTTATAAGGAATAAAAGTAATTTTAAGGATTTTATCGCGTTTAATTTTAACTTTTTAAATTCACGATGGTTTGGGCAATTTACAGCACCCATGGTCACGGGAGGGGTGGCAGAACTGAGGTGTTTGACGACCTGATGTTATAGTTAAAATAGAATAGTTAAAATGCAGTAGTAGTTTGAATTTAATTTTATTAATCATGGAGTCCTTAGCAGAAAGTAGCACTCAGCCATCTTCCCTATTAAAATTAGGATATTTTTAATTTCAATAGCCTCGCGAATCATCATTGGTAGGATTCGGTGTTCTGTTTCAAGGATTTGTTGTATATAATGGTTGGGACGATACTAAATATGTTTACATACTTTAGATTTCCCGGAGCTTCGGTGCTTTCATTCGGTGAGGAGTCAAGATGCGTAAAAAACCCGTAACATTAGTTTTAATCCATGTGTGGTATTCATTATTATAGAACTGTATTTATGAAATTTTTAAGTCTACTCGAAGTAAATAAAAATATCTATATCTTTTTATGGTGCCAATCAATATTAAATAGGACCAATGATATGAATAAAATGTCTCAAATAAATATTATATTACTTTGTTAAAACTAATTTTACTTTAACTATGAATATATATATGTAAAGAGTAAATAATAATAATACATTTTGATTTCAAGACTATTTACCTTTCTTATGGATACATCGGATTCGGAAGACACGCCATATTTAAAAAATAGTAGGAGTTTCTAGACATATTATATGTATATTCACGTGTTTCTGTAGCATGTTACCACTCATCTACTTCTAATAGTATTTTAGAATGAAAAAAAATCTCTGACAGACATAGAGACATAGACACCAAGGTGACTCTAAAAGTGATCGAATATTTCTAAATTTGACACGGAACAGCATTTAATGATGTCCCTAAATTAAAGCGCACGCGAGCGAAGCCGCGGGTAAAAAGCTAGTAATATAATAAAATAGGCCTATGTTTTTTTTTTTATAAAACTGAAATGATAAACGAATTATAGTCAGCTTGATGGTAAGTGGCAGGGTTGGCATATTGTTTTTGTTTGCTGCATTAGTAATTTTAACCAAGTAGTCCAGCTCTATGGCTTTCGGCGCCTGTGTCTTTTGTATCAATTACATGAGTTGAGTTTGTTAACACATCTGTGACACAGACCGAGACTATCAAGTCCTGCCTGACGTTGCTCCCACCATCAATAGACAGATTAATAACTTTGTTTTTCAACTCATCTTTAACGCTTTCTTGGGTTGAGTTGTAGACTCCGTCGAGTAGATTACCAGCAATTTGTTTGCTTGTTTGTGTGTTTGCTTGTTTGGGCCTAAACTCTCCATTGATTTCAGGAACTGTGGGTGTTTATTTTATAGAATAACGGTGACAAACGAGCACACAGTCCACCTGATGGTAAGTGGATTCTGTGGCCCATAGACATCCACATTTATCATCGATCGAAGAATCAAACTGCGTTGTCAACCCTGAGGACTAAGATGGAATGCCTCGTTTCCATTAAAAAGGGTCTCCGGTTCTCTACACTCACCATACGAAATACACCAGCATGAAGCTGCTATTTTGCGGCGGTATTCTGTGAGAGCGTGGTCCCACTCCGGTCGAGCCGCCCCATTCGTGCTACAACCATAATATAGCTGCAGCATGGCTCTACCACACACATATGTGTGTATAATATGTTCTACGTCAAAGGTGTAAAAGGTGTGTTGGTAGCAATCATGTAACGAGATAATTGTAAATAAATTTTCTTCTTATCCTTTTGACTTGTAGTAATAGTATTTTTTTTTCATTGAAACGTTCACGCTCGCGCTGCTGTTGCAAGCACTGGTACTTTTAGATTGAAGAGTAGTAGAGTAACAGAAACCGATCTGGTAGAAGTACTATCTGAAGATCGGGAAGGACCAGCATCGCTCAACAACCACCACACAGTCCTCGTCCGCGTCAAGATCTGCATCAGTGTGAGTACCGGTGCTACATTTCTGGAAGTGTGCCTGCATTCTTTTTACAAGTCGAACAAGTTCTTTCTTACATTTTCTGCAACGCACTGATTAGTCTTCACTGTGGTATTTTCTTGTGGAATCGATATGAATTGTTCCCAAACTGCATGCTTTTTTTCGTCCTGGAGTTGACATTTTTATGAGCTGTAAACTTATCAGTCACAAAATCAGTAAATAAATGAAATATTTAAAAAAAACTCGTGTTTATACACTTCATAGGTAATAACCCGCTAGTAAATTCTCGCTGGGAATGTCCCTGTGTCGATCGTCGTCGAAAGAAAGTAACTCACTGGATTAGTGAGTGGGTATTCCCTTAATTTAAATATAGGGGGATTATATAGACTATTAAGAATGAACATGATGTATGTAAAGCGTTCAGTATTGATTAGAGATACACAACAAAAAATTCGATTGATCGATTTTTGTAAACGTTTACTAAATAAGGCGAATTTAAAAATATTCTAGAAATTAATTGATTAGGTAATTGATTTTAAATTGATGACAAAATGTAAAAAAAAAACATGAAAAACAAAAAAACATTTTGTACTGTTTGGTTTATGAAATTAAAAAAAATGTTTTTTTTCCAACCCTGGTAAGTAGCAATTGCAACCCATGGGCACCTGCATAACAGTAATCATACTGGCTCTCTTTACTATCAGACCAGTACAAAACAGTGGAAGCACCGCTATTTGGCGGCACAAATATGTGAGAGGCTTGTACCTACCACCTTATATTATATATATATATATATATATGGGACAGTGGATTCTCTTTCACCGCGTTATGGCATTTTGTACATACGTGTCAAGTATTCGGTTGGAGCCTCTGATGTCGATCTCTTGTAGCAGCGCCCCAGAAAGAGGTACTTCGACAGTAGTATCTCCAATGCCGACCACGAGCACCGTGCCACCTTTCTTAGTCACCTGAAATATTAAGAGCGTTTTATTTTCGAATTAAAAATGGGATTGCCATTAGTTTTTCTACGACGAACGAGCACAAAGTACACTTGATGGTGTTTTCCAAGTTAATTTAGATTTAAAAGTTTACAAAAAGATTATTGTTTGATAATGATACGTGGTTGAGTCACGCTGCAGCTGTATTATGGTTGCAGCACGAATAGATCAGTTCGACCGAGGAAGGACCATGCTGTCACAGAATATCAATGCTGCTGTGTTTCGTATGGTGCGTGTAGAGAATATTTTTACTGGAAGCGAAACGTTGCATCTTATTTCTCAGGGATGAAAACGTTTCCGCATTTTGATTCGTAATCGAAGATAGATGAACATGTCCATGAGTCACTGTTTCCACTTACCATCAGGTGCTAATACTTGGTGTTACCCTTATTCTATAAAAAAGCTATGACTTTTTTGCTGATATTGCTGTTAAAATATTTCAATTCACATGAGTTTATGTGATATAATATGGACCTGTGACCATGTGACCATCATCACTTGCCGTATGAAAATCTCAAAGTCGCTCAGCGAGCTATGGAGAGCGCTATATGCTCGGAGTTTCTCTGAGTGATAGACTGTGTATTGACGATATACAGTAGAACCAGAGTAACCGAGACAGTGCAACGGATCGGATAAGCTGAAGTATCCATGGGCCGGCCAAATAGCTCGAAGAACTGGCAATATCAAAATTGTTACTTATTATTTAGTAACTTTTAACAAGCAGGCAATAAAACACAAATTAGCCTCTTCTTCTTTAACTTCAAAAAGTCATAAAAGTCATGAGCCTCTTCCCTTCTCATGAGGATTTGCTCGAATCGTCACTCTTGACAGGCGGTTTGATAATCGCAGTATCATACGTTTCGCACCTTGGAAAAATGAGTTAATAAACAAAAATTGTATGATTAAAAAAAAAAACAACATGCGTGAGTGTCATTGAACACTCGGTTGGAACGAAGTCCCTTTCGTAGTATATTATTATTGATAAACGTATTATATATTTTTTTATTAAGCCTTAATTGCTGATACCAAACAATATAAACTATTTTAACATTGATTTTTTTTACTTAATAATAGTCTAGAATATCATATTTCCTAGTTTAGTAGTCAGTGTGTCCTGTGACACATAGACCTCTTCCAGATTTTTCCATTCCTCTCTGTTGTTAGCTTTTCTTGGCCAGATTGTCCCTCCAATAATCTTGATATCATCTGTCCATCTTTTTGCTTTCTCTTTTTCTTTTGCCATCACGGGGTTGCCATTCCGTTATGATTTTCGTCCATTTTATCCTGCTGTCTCTTGTCATGTGTCCTGTCCATCGCCATTTCAACTGTCTAATTTTCTTTATTATGTCTTCGACCTTTGTAGTAGATCTAATATCTTCTGCTTTTTTGCGGTCTTTTAGCGTTACGCCCAACATACTTCTTTCAATTCCCCTATGACATGTTCTCAGTTTAAGAAGATGTTTCTGATTCAACGCCCAAGTTTGGCATCCATATGTAAGACATGGTAAGATACACGAGTTGAACACTTTTTTCTTGGCTGCCATAGGAAAGTATTTACTTTTAAATATCTCTTTAAGAGACCAGTATCTTTTCCAAGCGCAAGCCACTTTTCTTTCTATTTCTATGTCTGTCTGATCTCTAAATGATAATAATTGCCCTAAGTATGTATAGCTTTTAACATATTCAATATCTTCATTATTTATTTTTATGGCTATTTCTTCCCTGTTTGTCATTACTTTTGTTTTTGATTTATTCGTAGTAAGACCAACTACTCTGCTTGCTTTCTTCAACTGTTGTAGCATATGTTGGAAGCGTATTAGCGTTGTCAGTTATGAGGACTATATCATCAGCGAATCTTAAATGATTAAGTTCCTTGCCGTTGATATTGATGCCAAAATTGTCCCACTCGAGATCACTGAATATGCTTTCCAAGATTGTAGAGAAAAGTTTTGGGGATAGCGGATCTCCTTGCCTCACCCCTCTAGCTATTGGCAACTCTTCGCCGACTTTTTCTAGTTTTATTTGCGCTATGTTATTTGCGTATATATTTTTAATTATACGTATATATTTTTTTGGTACTCCTTGCTGTATTAGTGCCCTCCAAAGCGAGTCATGTTTAATAGAATCAAATGCTTTATTATAGTCCACAAATGCAAAACGTATTATATATTGTTTAACAAATACTAATAAATGAATTACTAGCGTCTATTAAAATGTAGCGTAAAATAATATTTCTTTCATGGCAAGATAAGTAAAAGTGCGAGGGAGATGGATATTATTCCATCTCGCTTCCTTATAGCCACCAAGGCCGCCTACATTACGCAGATGGGGTCGTGACGGAAAAAGCTTACACTTTTCCCGCTTAGCCCACGTCCGCCAAATTCGTACCGTCCGATAAGGAACTTCTTTCCAATAATATAAGATTTTATAAGTGAACAAGTTACCAGCATGGATACTCGTTGTGCGGAAGGAAAAGCGCATGCGTCAATGGTGATGTTAGGCCTGGTCCCCAAAGTGTTGATAATCTTTTCCACAATTTCCTGATCGGAATATTCTCTCTTAATCAAAAACGTGTAATCCGCCGCCAGTTTTCTAGCTGTCTCCAAACGGGATTCCACCACATCTAAAAATAAATCGTTTGTTTGGTTTAAAGAAATATATAAAAATAATATAATAATAATAATAATAATCTGCTTGGGCTCTTACTTATGTATGTATTTTTCTATAGAATAAGGGTGACAAACGAGCATACAGTCCACCTGATGGTAAGTGGTTGCTGTGGCCCATAGACATCTACATCTACCTTCGTTTGCGAAATAAAATGCAGATGCGTTGTCAGCTGTGAGGACTAAGATAGAATGTCTCTTTTCCAGTAAATAGAGTCTCCGGTTTTCTACACTCACCATACGTAACACAGCAGCATTAAGCTGCTATTTTACGTTGGTATTCCGTGACACCCATTCGCGCTACAACTATACTATTAATATAGCTGCAGCATGGCTCTACCACGTGAGATATGATATTATTTATTTGTTAGTATATTTAATATTTATTTATGTATGTTTATAATTTCCTCTTATATATTTATTCAGCCCAACCAGATGAGAATACTTTATAAGTACCCCAATAATAATCATCATCATTATTACAGTCCATCACAAGGTCAACGTTAATCATAGGCTTCTCCTGGAGTTTCAGAAAGCACGTTTCCTCAGTTACCTGTCCATCGGTCGACCACCGATTAAGGAAGGAAGTTTCTCGACTTCCCGAGTGGCAGCCTCGTAATAACAAGAGCAGTGTAGGGCGCCCACCATGACCTCACTAGACGAAGAGATGACCTTATGAAACATACATGGACTAGTAGCAGTCTATGGGAGCGGTCTATATTCAGCGGGGAATTCGAAATGGGCTCTAATGATGATTGATCAATGAATAATACTAGGTCGTGGTAGCGTTATACCTAGGTCATGAGGCTTTTTGGCATTTCCATACGTACACTACTGACGCCACCCACGGGACGAGATGGGGAGATGGATTGCCTACACCGCTATCACATATCGTATTATTATACATCTTGTGGTTGCATTTAATATTTTATTAAAATAAAAAATAGTGATGGTAAGGTGAACTTCCACGTGGTGCACCCACCATACTAAACTAAATAATTTAAAATTAAGAATATTGTACAGCCGACGTCAATATAAATTATTAAGAAGAACTCAAAAACTATTAGTCTGACCTTGATCAAATTCATATGGGACCACATGTGAAGCACCAGCATTCAGATAAAAAAAAGAATCATCGAAATCGGTTCACCCAGTAAAAAGTTATGAGGTAACACACAAAAAAAAACATACAGTCGATTTGAGTACCGTCTCCTTTTTGGAGTCGGCAGAAAAAAGTTTATTTGACTTTGAGAAATTTACTGGTATTACCGAACATTTTCGTAGGTTTCTTTTTGAGTACTCGATGCTCGTTATAAGTTTTTTTTTTAATAAAATAAGAGTGACAAACGAACACACAGTCCATCTGATCGTTAGTAGATGCTGCGGCCCATAGATACCTGCATCTATACTTAATTAAGAATCAAAATGTTGAAGCGTCACCTCGAAGGGCTAAGAAGGAATGCCTCGTTTCCAGTAAAAAGGGTTCCGGTTCTCTACACTCACCATACGAAACACAGCAGCGTACCTGCCATTTTACGTGAGTGTTCTGTGAGAGCGTGGTCCTTCCACGGTCGAGCCGACCCATTCGTGCTACAACTATACTACATATATATAGCTGCAGCATGTATTTCAGTTGACGTGATTGTTAACTTAACCGTGTAGGTGTAAGAAGATGCACTACCCCATATTGTCCGGTAGGTGTCGTAAGAGGCAATAGAGGGAAACAGGAGATGGATAGCAGCATCTTTCTGATAACAATTCAAAATTATAAAAATACTACATTTAAAAGCGTCAGTAGCCTAATGGCAGGGCGCGAACTGCGAAGTCGAAAGGTCGTGGGTTCGTATCCGCCATTCGACTACTGTCGTGAACCACTTCTAACACAAGCATTTTAAGCTTACCAGAAGTGGTTAAAGGGAATATTAGTAATGTTTAATAGCTTTACTAGTATTTAAAAAAAACTACAGTTACCAATCCGCCAGAAAAGCGTAGCAAATATGGCAAAATCCCCCCTAAGAGGAAATCTTTGGGGGAGGCCTATGTTCAACTGTGGACTTTTATTTGCTGTAATGGTCTGTAAACCAATCTAGGGTTGTTAACAACCGAGACTAAGAAACCGACCTGTCATCAGTATTTTGGAGGCGCCCATGGCTCTAGCAGTCATAGCACAGAGTACTCCTATAGGCCCGGCGCCGAGAATCACGAGATTCGTCCCAAGCTTGATGCCGGCGCGATTACACGCGTGGATCGCTATGGCCAGCGGCTGTACAGCTGCACCTTCTTCCATCGTAAGATTGTCGGGTAATCTGTGGAAATATTCATTATTTATGAGTACGAGCTGTGAATGGTATTGGGTTTATCATTTTTATATAATTGTGTGATTCAAAGGGCAACTGCGGGAACTCGCGCGAATGCGTACGGTACGATTTTTGAATGGGCGAGTCGTGTGAACGAGACAACATGAACATAAGCGCCACTGCATCTCGTATGTGGCAACTTCATACGGTATATACGGTAAGGCCACGTTCACACGGCGACCATTCTATTCGATTTTTTACGTGTACGGTTCTACCGTATACGATACAATCATTCACACGGCGACCATTCGATTCGATTTTTTACGTGTACGGTTCTACCGTATACGATGCAATCATTCACACGGCGACCATTCGATTCGATTTTTTACGTGTACGGTTCTACCGTATACGATGCAATCATTCACACGGCGACCATTCGATTCGATTTTTTACGTGTACGGTTCTACCGTATACGATGCAATCATTCACACGGCGACCATTCGATTCGATTTTTTACGTGTACGGTTCTACCGTATACGATGCAATCATTCACACGGCGACCATTCGATTCGATCTTTTACGTGTACGGTTCTACCGTATACGATGCAATCATTCACACGGCGACCATTCGATTCGATTTTTTTACGTGTACGGTTCTACCGTATACGATGCAATCATTCACACGGCGACCATTCGATTCGATTTTTTTACGTGTACGGTTCTACCGTATACGATGCAATCATTCACACGCGACCATTCGATTCGATTTTTTTACGTGTACGGTTCTACCGTATACGATGCAATCATTCACACGACGACCATTCGATTCGGTTTTTTCACGAATACGGTAAATCTTGAATGCGCGAGTCGTGTGAATAAGACAACATAAACATAAGCGCCACTGCGTGTCTTATTCGATAAAATCGTTTCAAGGCGCCGCATTTTCAGTGGCAACGTCGTACGGTATACGCGGTAAAAATGTATCTCGAACACGACATTTTCCCGTATGGACTCCATGTGAATAGTTTGACATATTGTCTACTGCCACTAATATGTTCTATAAAATCTAGTGTACGGTATACGGGAAAAGTATAGCCGTGTGATCGTGGATTAACAGAATGTATCGTTTCATTGCGTCCCGTGGGTGTTGTTCGTGGGAAATGGCTGAAAAATCTTAGACGTTCTGATAGATGGCGTTGTAACTATTTCGTTTACTTCAGCCTTAAAAATCTTTTATTCAGACCTAAAAAAATTCGAGGTATTACGACACATGTTTTCGTCAGGTATACCTCAAAACTTGAAAACGAGATTGTACAAGCAGTGCGTGTAGTCAGTAATGACTTATGGTTCTGAGACGTGGTCCTGCCCGTGTGAGGAAGCTGAAGATCGCTCAGCGAGCTTTCTCTCTCTCTTTCCCTCGGGGTTTTTCTGTGTGATAAACTTAGAAATGAGAATATCCATAGTAGAACCAGGGTGACTGACATAGCCCAACGGATTAGTAAGCTGAAGTGGCAATGGGCCGGCCATATAGCTCGAAGAACCGACAACCGATGGGGAAAAAAGGTTCTCGAGTGGCAGCCACGTACCTTTAGGCGAAGTGTATAGAAACGACCTGGTAATACATGTAAGAAGTCGATGGATGCATGTGGCTCAGGACCGTTCTTTGTGGCATTCCTTGGGGAGGCCTATGTTCACCAGTGGACTTGTGAAGGGCTGTAATGTTAAATGATGAGATGTAAAAATTCCATAGCGGTGATGGGCAGCAGCGCCAAAGGTGCAAGACAGCACCAGCAGCAGGAGGGATCATTAATCCGATTGCCAAGCCTGATTAAGGCAAGTCCTCTTGTGGCCTATGGAGAGTCAATGTAGTTGTGGTGGTACCTTTTGATTAAGTACATTGCCGGAATTTATTTATTTATCTATTACATTTATTTTTCCGTGGTAGAGCCATGCTGCAGCTATATTATGGTTGTAGAACGAATGGGTCGGCTCGACCGGAGAAGGACCACGCTCTCACAGAATACCAGCGTAAAATAGCAGCTTAACGCTGCTGTGTTTCGTATGGTGAGTGTAGAGAACCGGAGACCTTTTTTACTGGAAACGAGGCATTCCATATTAGTCCTCACGGGTGACAACACGTCTGCATTTTGATTCGTAATTGAAGATAGATGTAGATGTCTATGGGCCACAGCAACCACTTACCATCAGGTGGAATGTGTGCTCGTTTGTCACCCTTACCCTAAAAAAAAAAACAGATATATTTGCTTAAAAGATGAACAGATAAGGATGGTATAATTCGTAAAGCACGACATGTTTTGCTATCTGATTATAAATAGCATGCATAAATAGCACATACAAATGGAATTTTTCTAATCAAATCTAATCCAACACAAAACAATCGGACTAAAAGAAATAAAATCATAAATATATATAGTTAATTAGCAACTAAATCACAGTTAAACAGTTTTATATTTCACATCACAAAGTTTCACATAAAGAAGTAGAAGGCGATGGATACAGTTACAGATAGATAGAAGATGAAAGCAGAAAGTACAGTCTAGAATCACAAGCATAAAATAGGAAATTAACACTTAAATTATTTTCGTTATAAGCAAAGCTAAAAGGTCGGCGCAGGCGCAAGCGGAACAGGTTTCACGTCAGACGGCTAAAACGCGACTGCACTATCGACCTCCGGTCTGAGCAGGCGGTAATGTGGCGTTGCCATCCTGGCGCCACACCAATGGGGCCGGTGAAAAGAAAAGGGGAAATATCCCGCCGGGCAAGGTGATAGGCCCGGGGAGCGGCCAACGCTCCGTGTGTTATTTCTGAAGTTGTTCAATATATAGCGCGTTAACTACAGAACTTTGATAGCGTGATTTAGGCTTCGGTGTGTTTCATTTATGGCGCGAGTACAGTACCGCCACAGGCCTATTATGATCTGACGATGAACAAGAAGAGGAAACACAAATAATTCGGTTTTTTATAAACTTTTACCTATATCTTCATCATTATAATCTTCACTATCATCATTATTACAGTTTTATAAATCTACTACGAACATAGGCCTCCCCCGAGGATGCCACAAATCACTATCTTGAGCCTGCATCTATTTCATAAGAACAAATCATAAACAACGCGATCTTCTTTCAGAATTCTGCATATATGAGACAGCGACTATGCAGTTTACGTTTTTGTGGATATTTTCTTAACTTACTTGTGACAGAAGTCGGCTACGTGTTTGTAGTACTGACAGATATTCCCTGGACTCTTCGGTGTGGAGCAGTACTGGGGCTCGTCGCACAGATTGTACCTGCCCGTTTTGCAGAACTCGCATTTGCGACACGGCTGCGTGGGTTCTATCGCCACACGGTCTCCCGCTTTCAATCCCTTAACATTACCACCGACCTAGAAGGAGAGAGGTTTGTCCACAATGTTTTTATCAATTGAATATATACACCGACACGAGTGTTTCGTGTCGGCTTGCCATCCAATCGGACTATGAGAATGAGGGAAAAGGGCGTGCACCTGTGCTTGCGCATGCACTTGAACACTAATCCTGTCCTGCGTAGATAGCCATCTCCGTTGGACTGGCAATTCCGACCGAAATTCGGTCTGGAGGACATTGTATACACCGACTTCAATTATGTTGCCTTGTCAGCGAAATGGTGTTTGGCTGCGGTTTCATAAGCCGCGGGTTCTTTTCCAGCACGGAACAAGCTGACCAGCGTTGGCAATATATAAACATACTGGCCGAGAAGAAACTGCATACTTAAGAAAATGTGTAAAAAATTACGACGACGACATGACGGGCGCTATAGATTGGATTTTGATTTATTAATTACACCCAAAATTCAACAAAAGTCCACTGTTAAGCAAAGGACTCCTCCATAGATTGCCTAGACAGGAGGAAATTTGCTATATTTGATATATTTGCAACGTTTGTTAACTGTTAAAGATGAGATATATATGAAATAAATAATTATTATAATAATTGGGGCCGTGTGGTGGCAGTGTAAGAATATCCACTACCGCATATCGTGTCGTGGGTGTCGTAAGAGGCGACAGAGAAAAACAAACCAGGAGATGGGCAACAGCGTCTTCCTGATATTTACTCAAAATTATAAAAGACTGCTTAAAAAACTGCAAGGCGTGGCAACAATGGCAAAATTTCCACTATGAGGCAATCTATGGGGAAGCCTATGTTAAACAGTGGACTTTTATATTCTGTAATGGTATGGTAATTATTTTTGTGTGCTCATAAGTTATTCTTTATGGGAAACACATCAGGGCAGATGGAGAGCAGGAGGCACAGGCCTCCTCTCATTTCTGAGAGAGTTATGGAGTTATTAATCGGCCGCGCTGCTCTACAAAGACTTCTATGTAGATTAGACTACATCGGCAATTCAAAACGCCGACCGGGCGGGTAGCACATAAATAATGACAGCGTTTTCTCAGTCACATAAAAAAAAATCAGTGTTGGATTGTCGAAAACAACGTTCGTGGTTTACAAAACAAAGAACTAGTCTTCTCGCCCGCTCGCTGTCTACTATAGGAGTTACGGCAAATTGACCGTAACTTAGTGCGCAATGTAATAAGGTCGAAGAGACTGTCTAGCAGTACTCACAGAAGTCTTTGACTCTATATGTCTTCAATATAATTTCTATCTCAGACATGCAGGTTTCCTCACGATGTTTTCCTTCGCCGCCAATCACGTGGTAAAATAGCACAAAACATTGCAATTAATAATTTATTGGCGCCGGCGGGAATCGAACCCATCAGGTTGCCCGCGTGCTGTGAAATTTGCGGCGGGCTACTAATCCCTGAGTCACTGCTTCTTTACCAGAATGGGAGAGTAAATCTTTCATGAGGTGAATGCACCTGATGGTTAACATCTTAAATATGATAATAGAAAAATTGCTATTCTAACACAAACCTTGACAACTACGCCGGCTGCTTCGTGTCCCATGACCATTGGTCCGTCTAGAACCTCCTGGCCACATTTTCCTGCGCTGTACAGCTTCAAATCCGACCCGCAAATACCCACGCAAGATATCTTTATTAACGCCTCTATAACAACAAACTAACTATAAGATTGTAACAAATTTTTGGTCACTTATTGTGGATAGAGAAATGTCGGACTTCCCCTACTGCTTCTTCTGTTTGTGGCTCAGACAAACAAAAAACATAGACGCGGGGCTATGTCAACACATGGGGGTACACACTACTACACACTACTTACATGCACCTCACTTATCACCTGACCGGTACCCTGTGGTCAACCCTACCTCCTGAAATCGGTAAGTTTTGTTGTGCTTGCTTATTTGCCATTTATTTAGAACATTTATCCATAGGCTATTTGGGCCCCGCTCTCTGTTGCTCGTCGAGGGGGCTACTATGGCCCCAGGCCCAGTCGACTTTTGTCGGGGCAACTAGGGGCGTATACAGTTACCACGCTTGGCAGTTTTTTATTTTCTAAATGCAATTCTTCTGGCTTGTTCCCGCTGTCGCATCTTATGGCACCCACGGGACAATATGGGGTAGAGGATATTCTTAGACCGCTACTACATGGAATATCCATCTAAACCAATTCATATATGTGAATATGTAATTTGTGCTAACCGTCATCGTTGATCACCGGAACTTGCAGATTTTCCTGAAATAAAAATTAAATATATTAGGAAATCTCGACGAAATGAAGTGACGAACATCACGACACAGGAGGTATAGGAGTGTGTTGTGTAGCACTCCTCGGAGGGGACCTATGTTCAGCAGTGGACTTGTAAAAGGCTGTGGGCGTTGAGCAATGTCGGTTACTCTGGTTCTACTGTGGAAATCCTCGTTTTTAAGTCTATCACACAGAGAAACCCCGAGCACAACCCTCTTCATGGCTCGCTGAGCGACCTTGAGATTCCCCATACGGCCAGCAGTGAAGGATCACGTCTCAGATCCATAGTTCATCACAGGCAACACGCACTGATTATACAATCTTGTTTTCAGGTTTTGAAGTATGTCTAACCAGAAGATTTTTTGAATCCTGCGAAGCCGAGTTGAATCCGTCAATTGACCTCTCGGTCAAAGTTGGACTATTTGTCCCAGGTAAATGTACTCGTCAACAATAGGGTTAGAGTTGTCCCTTTCAAATGTCAAAAAAGCATATTTTTTTTTTCATTTCGCTTCATGCTACGGACGGGGGATATATGTCTACTTCTTATGGGGGATGTACTTCTCCCCGGTGCCGTGCTTTGGCATAGGGACAAGATAATTTTATCTCATGTCAGTGGATATAATCGGGGGATAAAATTTTAGTTCTCAGCAAATGCTAGCCGTGCTGGCATAGGTGTGACAAGGGCGTTACACATGACTTTCATTTTGTCCATGTTCATCTTAAGACCTATCCATTGGGAGACAGTATTGAGATCATTGAGCATAGTGCTTAGGTCCTCCAGCGATTCTGCCATAACGATTATATTGTCAGAAAATCGAAGGTGAGTGATGTACTCACCATTGACGTTAATACCATATCCTTTCCAGTCCAGTAGGTTGAAAACGTCTTCCAATGCAGCGGTGAATAGATTCGGGGATATTACGTCACACTGTAGGCAAGGAAGATCGTGTTGCTGAGAGGCTGCCCTTTTTTTGTACGTGGGGAAATGCCTACACATACTCGCTTCGCGGGGGTAATGACGGGTTACGTCAGACTCGCACCGACTAAAACCCCATGGTGTTCTACATTCGTCTCATATTGGCATGGCTATGGGAACGCTTTCGCACACATCCGCAGCCCCACCAGCGTTGGCCGCCCCTTGGCGGACCCTCCTTGGGAGAAGACTACTCCTCCCCCTTCTCATTCTCAGATAAGGCGCACCAGAACACACGACGCGCCCTCCTCCTCAGCCTCCAAATTCAAGTGCGCAACGGACGCCTCCTTGTCCGATGCGCAAAGGCCATGGGGCCAGGAAAAACGACACTCAGAAGCACTAGCCTTTCTGACCCACCACCACCGCATAAACGGTGCGGCCCCGCCAGAGTCGCGGAGGATAGGGCGAGTGGCGCATCGTCATACCAACACGCCTCTTCCTCCGCTACTCCTCCCCTACTGCAGCGGTAGGGAGAGAGGGCAGCCCTCGCGTCGCAGCCCACCGACACACATCCGAAGTGGGCTCGCCAAGCCCACTCGGAGTGGCCACCTCGGGCCGGCTCTACACTTTGGACCAGCCATGTGGGTTCCTTTTAATTCACCGTGGATGACCAAGCCACGGCTACTAAGCCCCCCGCCACGACAAGGCAGTAACCTCTTCAGGTGAGTGAGAGGGTGCCCTGTGTTACATTGAGGTGGGTAGTGTTGCTGTTGCTTTGCATACTTTGGTGTTAGCGTGTAGTTCGGTCCTTCACATTACGCCGGTGTGTGATTGTGACGGGGACATATTACGGTTGGTCGAACTGTATTTCTCTTTTCTATACTGAATGTATGGTGCAGTACGCTGTACTCCGGAATGGCTTCTGATAGTAAGGATGGCTTTTTACAGAGTAGTGTCCTTTTATTTAAATAATTTTGAGGATAATTCTTAACAGTGTATTATGTACTTCAATGGGTTTATCAGCAGAAGCAAGAGGAGTGGTAGCGTTAGACCTCAGCTAATAACCGATCACGCACGACGGCGGTTTACCGGCTCTGCGTCATTTTGGTGCCGGATTTCATGTAAGGTGGAATTAATTAATCCCCAAGTTAATACAGTTCCCACGTCAAAACACTTTTTCATAATCTACATAAAAATAAAAGAACAGGAACAAACACACTGATAATCGCACGTCGTTCTTTTGTCTGCGATGTATTAGCAGCATATAGCTGTCATAGAATCTAATGATACATGAGTTAGGTTGTGTAGAATTATTAGGTAGTCTATACTCGTATTTAGGAACAAGTAGAAAATAAACCCCTCTATTAACGCTATTTAATACTTATGTTATTGTATTCGTAAATATAACATATTGATAACAAGTTCAAATGCATAGTTCTGTGATAATAAATAATTACGTAAACACAAATCTCTTAGATATAATGCTTTTGAATATACAGCAATCTGAGGTTTGACTTTTGACCTTGCGCAATTGTGATTTCTTTTATAAATAAATGTATGAATGCGTTTTTTTAATAGCCATCGTCTACATTGCGGGATAGTCGTCATGTTTGAAAGGAATTTTTCGGTTTATCTCTTTAATCAATTTACGCCTCCAGCCTTCCCTTACGCGTTTTCTACACTACCTTCTTCTTCCATCTCTTCGACCTGATGTAGTTCACTGCTGGTCTAGTCATTTATAAGTGTTAAAATTAAAATATCATCAATGTAGTCGAAGTCAATTAAATACGCATTATTAAGGATAACTCAACAGGTTAGATTATATGGGATTATATGAGAAGCGCCAGCTTTCAAATTCAAGAATAATAATAATAATAATAATATTTTTTACACATAAAAAAATACAGTCGAATTGAGAACCTCCTCCTTTTTTGTATCGTTTGAAAAGGAACGCCTGTCGGCGGACTCACTGGCAAGTGATTGCCACGTTTCGCAGGCGGATTGATTATCATAGTACGAGACGTCTGGCACCTTATCTCTTATTCGACTTGTGGAACCGACGAAAGGAAATAGGCGAAGGGATTTCTCATGCCGCCCACACATGACGGCTCCTTTCTTACCGAAAAAATAATTGATATCTGATCGTAACTGCAAATATCTTACCTATTATAGCTATTTGGGCATAATAAACTGTCTCAATATCGAAACTCTTAAAATCAGATCATCAAGCAAATATATTACCTACCTATAAACTTAGGTTTCAGTTCGTGCTTTGATTATATATGATATTTTAAAAATATGCCGCTGGTGTTTGCGTATTTTAATCACTTGGGTTTGTATGTTTTTGTTTTAAATCTGTATATCATATAATAGGTATCTACATTCTTTAAAATACATGATATTTATTACTTACGATTCTCACATCGTACGGCCCGTGCAGTACGGCGGCTAAATTGTCCATCTTGTAGAACTAGATATAGTAACTATTTTGTATCCAACGACAAGTTTTATCAACGCTTCCTGTCGATTAACTTTATATTCCATCTTGTCTTTGTGTCTTTCTCTCCGTCTCTCTCTTAAAACACGCAATTAATTATAGTGACATCTGTTATGTAATCTATGAAAGTCAAAGCATGACAAATAATATTGTTATTTTTAATTTCGAATCTTTTATTGTATAATTGTATATTTTCGCCGGTTTAGTGCCGGCGTAAGGTTATCCACCATATCATCCAGTGTGTGACATAAAAAGCGATAGAGGGAAATGAAACGGAAGACGAGCAGTAGCATCTTCCTCATAACAATTCCAAATAACAAAAACCTTGGCGGGCGGGTTGCAAGCGTAGCAACATTATTTTAATTTTATTTTTTTAAAAACGTTACCACCACACTAGGATTTTTTCCTGTATCGTGGAGGCAGTTTACAAACATAAATTGCACGAGGACAAACATCCAGACCCGAAACAATTATTTGTAGGCCATACAAATACTTGTTCCGTGCAGGATTCGAACGCGCGGCCCCCAGCGCAACAACGCATTGCTATGCCACTGCGCCACGGAACCGTCGCGCAGTGGCTTAGCAACTGTGATTAACATCCGCCTCTATGAGGTAATCTATAGCGGATGCCTACATATGTCCAGCAGCGGACTTTTGTTAGGCTGTGTAAATAACGAATAAATGAAAAAAAAATTACAAACAACTTACAAAATATGAAATTGGAAATTAAAGATGTCAAAGTCGAGTTTTGGTCACGGCGAAGACTTCTTATTAATCTCAGACACAATATAAACTATAGCTGAACTAGATGCGCCAAATGCGATTGTAACGGAGTTAAGTTTCAGCCGCCGGCATGAGCATGTGGACAGTCACAATTCAACATGACACCATAAAAATATCAATTTGTACATTAATTTTGGCTTTGGCTTGAACTCTAATTCAAGACTCACGTAATAGCGAGGTAATTTAACCACTTGGCCTGATCGCATCATCAATAAACAATGAACGAGTAACCACGGATTAATAATACGTCATAAATACAGGTCCATGCGAACAGCGGACAGTACGGTAATTTATACATTATAACAGTGATATTTTAACATTACAAGAAGATAGGAGTACATGGAAGGTACGAAATTTGAAGAATAGACTTTTGAACAGATCTATTGCTATCTCACTGTGCTCCAACAACCGGGCTAGACAACCGAGATAGAAAACTGCAGATCAGACTGATTATGACTGTTTAGGCCCAAACTTGGGCATTTGAAACGCCATCTAATCGCGTTTAACTGGGCGCATCGCCCGATGGTGTGAGGTAACGTGCGCGACGCCGGGGGGAGGGGGAGGGGCAGCGGTATGCCACTTCCCGGCGTTCGGCCTCGTGAGTGCGAAGTCAGTAGCTTGACTGGAGCGGTGCTGTCGATTATCGTATTTTATGACCGCTGCAACGGTTTCGCGCTGTTAGGAGGCCGATCCCGTTTGACTTTTTAAAAAAAAACCACAAGGTAAACCTAAGGGTTTATTATAAAAAGTTTACACACACAATTAATATTAACCCTGACTTCCGAACTCTAATACGTATCGGAGTCTATGTCCGATCTACCCGGAGCTCTGAATCTAACTGACTGTAAAATGGAATGAAATTAATATGGAAAAGAACAATGCAATTACTGATTGACGTCATATATAGGAAAAGTACCGTGGGATTGAATAAATGCTTACTAAGATTTAACTGCGTTGTAAAAAGGGATATAACAGCTCCCCCCTTTTGACTGAGCTTTTTCTAAATTAAGATAAAGCGAAGTTTCGAAATAGAGAAATAGTTAGAGGTCGGAAGGCGTTACAAAATATAGAAATAGAAAATTAAATTTATAGTAAAACATAGAAAATTTATCTTATAACAATATAAAACTTCGAACTATTCGATTTTACATAAAGATAAAGTAAGTTGTAACTAAGTTACGTAAAAGAAACAGCGTAAGATTTAACAAATAATCAATATAAAATAGAGCAATGAATTTATATAAAGGTAAAATAGTAAAATCTAGAATTAAAAGTATTTTAAATGAATTAGTAGAATTACGAGTAGAAATTGATTTTTAATAAACAAAATAGTAGTTTCAATTACAATTTTCATTTTAACATTGTATATAATTAAATAACAATACACATTTAAAATTAAAAAAAATACTTATTACAATTAGATTGAATCAAAAATAGTAAAATGTAGCAATTACAAAATATAAAATGACAAAGTAGAAATTGAAATTGTATGATAATAAAATTAATTATTTGTTTTAATACAAATATTTTTGTAAACTAAAATTGAATAAAATTAGAAATTAAGATTTCTTCCGGAGGAAGAGTGAACTTTGTGTACAGTTCTATAAGGTTCACAATTAGTACAATTTGGTAAAGATTTGGGTGAGTTATTATCTTCTTCAGATGTTGACATATCAATCATCTCAATTGAATTTGTAGTTTTAGAATTATGTTTCGACGACTTTTTATTATTACACTGATTAAATATTTGTATACAATGTCCACTATTATTGTGTCGATTTCTGGAACATTTAAATAATTTGTAGGCTAAGTACAAAAATAGTAATACAATTAAAATATAAGTAAATGTGGAATAGTATGAACCGTATTTTATAAAATGTGATTCCTTTTGAAGATTATTTAATTCAAATTCTAAACTATCTAGCTGATGATTTGCATATTTTAAGGAATCCAGGTTAACTTTGCTTAGAGAGATTGGCGTTAAATATGGTAAACTTTTATTAAATACATCTTTTTTGCAACAATCATCTCTTGTTATGTCAAAGCTTATATCTATAGTTGACTTAATCGAAAATTGATAAGTACTTGTTGGCAATAATTGAATAGTTTTGGAATAACCGATACAATTTTCGGTTAATTTGACAATACCTGTGCCAATAATAGAATGATCAGTAATATCATCGTTACATTTGATAGTTAATTTATTTACATTGGATTGTACATATATCCATTTATTATTTTTTAATTTATGCCAAATATTGATTTGGCCAAATAATAACTTGGAGTTACATTCAGAAGGTAAGGAAAGAGTTACTTCTGTTAATAATTTCGATTCACAATTAGGATTATTTATGCTAGACGTTATAGTAAATAGTTCACAAATAGAATAGTTATTATTAATAAATTTACAATCATCTAAGTTATTAAACATAGTATAATGTATTCTATCGTCACTTAAAGCAATATAAGAATTAGAAGGTTGAATAAGTGCAAACGTTTGTATATGCGACTCGTCGTGAGGAGTCGGTAATGGGATATTTTTATAAACAATGAATTTATCAGGTGTTATTAATGGAATCTGCAAGTTGAAAACAATCTTATTGTTATAATAATATGAACTAAGTTTCGAAACATCAATTAACGAATGAATATTATGTATGTTCAATTGCACTGGAAAATCTAAACGTTTATTTATTTGATTGATATGCTTGGTTAATTCATTATAAAGACTTAAAGGGCTAATCACGCTAGGATGCAAAACATTTACCTTGGAAAATAGGATAGCATTTATAGTCGTGTCTAGCAAGTTAGAAATGGCAAGTAAGGAGCTTTCAATTATGTTCAATAAATTATTTATTCTAGAAATGTTAATAAGTAAATTATCGGTTTTTGTGATTTGCGAAAGAATTTCATTCATTTTATTAATTTGTGAGTTTAATCTTAATTCATTTTGGTTTAATTTATAAATAGTGGCATTAAAATTATTTATGGTAGATTTAATTATGTGAATATTGTCTCTGAATAAATTAAATAGTTCTGTTTCACTTTTCCGACATAATTCTATCGCGGCATCATATTTTCGCGCATCATCTGCGTCTAGAGTACCGAAGAAAAATTTAAGAATTTCGCCTCCAAATTCTAGAGATCTTTTAACTCTATTTGACGATTGATTATTATCGATTATATGTGCTAGGGATTGCAATTTGACGTAATTATATTTTATTAAAATCTCTATAGGATTTGAAAAATCTTTACATTCGGAAAATTCATCAGTATTTATTTTGGAACAAAGGTTTAAGGTATCATATAATAAATTTTCAATTTTATTGAGATAAGGAGCTAAAGGTATAAGGTCTATATGTGTTATAACCTTCCAATAATCGTTATAAAAGTTAATATGCGTAATAGGTTCAAAATAAATTCCAGGACTATGTGATATAGGTATGATCCTCGACTCAGCGTGGCTTTGGCTTCCATAGCATAAAGCTCTGAAAAATATATAAAATAAGTTAAATTTAAGGAGTGTTAATAGCAGGTTTAATCTCGTTTATATGATACTTAACATGTTTACGACCTACTTGTAAAGTAACGTTGTGCTTATTATGGACTTTTATAATTTTATATGGACCTTTCCATATAGGTGATAGGGCCTTACGAAGTCGGTGATGGTGTTTTATATAAACTAAGTCACCAATTTTATACGAAATTTCGCGTGAACTTACATCGTAATATTGTTTGGATTTTTCTTTGCTATTAATTATATTTTGAATGGCCTTTTCTCTACTAAAACGCATTCGATATTGTAAAGCTCGAATATATTCATTATAAGTAATATTATTGTTCGTTTCATATAGAGAATTAGGGATATTAGGTTTATAACCATATAATAATTCATGAGGGGTGAAATTGGTAGTGCAATGAGGGGTAGTATTATAAGCTAATATTGCGGTAAATAAATAACAATGCCAGTCGTTCTGGTTTTCATTAACGAAAGATTTTAAGTATTCTTTTAAAGTAGCATGTGAGCGTTCTAGAGCTCCATTTGTTTGTGGGTGGTAAGGAGTAGTAAATAAAGCCTTGACTTTTAAGATTTGAGTTAATTCTTTAAATAAATCAGACGTAAAACAAGTACCTAAATCCGTTAAGATTGTTTTAGGGAAACCGAAGAGAGACATAAAATG